TGCTCAAAGCTGCTGTGGCATGTTTAACTAGGTAGAGGCTGTCACATGTGTTTATGCTGCATTTATTTAACGTGTAAGGATGGTGTGTTGCATTTGTTTCACCTTGCCTGCCTAAGGCACCTGATTGATCTAATAAAAAGCTGAATGGCCAATAGCCAGGCTGGAGAAAGATTAGGTGGGGTAGCCAGGCAGAGAGAATAAATAAGAGGAGAAACCTAGAAGAACAAGAGAAGAAGGAGGAGATAACGAGGGACACGCCTGGGGCAAGATGCCATTCAGATGCAAGAAGTAGTGAAAGTAAGTTATAGAAAGAAAAGGTTAAAAAAAACCACCTGAGGCTAAAGGTAGATAAAGAGATATGGGTTAATTAAAGTTAAAAGAGCTAGCCAGAAATGAGCCCAAAGTAGGTCAAGCACCCAAAACTAATAATAAAATTTTATAAAAAAATAAAACTAACCATAAAAAAATTTGGGGAGCTGGTTGCTAACGTAAAAGGAAAAGTCTGGTACACAAAGCTTAGAGCATCTAAGTCAAATTAACTAGTAAAAGTAACCCTTATTAAAGATCCCACAGGAGAGAATAAAACCTAGTTCAAAAGAGGAAGAGGACGAAAGGGAAGGAGGAAGAACACTGTGGTCTTCGATTTTGAGTTCTGTGTTTCTTGACTCAAATCTAATCCAGAGGACAATGTCTCCAGCAAAGACAGGCTGTGCATACAGGGTTCAGGTGAACTTTGGAAACAAAACCAAACATGAGACCTGAGCCATTGGGGGAGTGAGCTGAAGGAGGGTGTCAGATTCAGGGGGAGTGGAAACACCTCCAGTTGGGCAGGAAAATATGAAGAAGCAGAGAGACTAGAAAATATGGGGACCGGGCACATTTTGGTTTGGTTGAAGCAAAAAAACTGGAGCCAGAAGCACAGTGGTTTGAACACAGCCTGTCCTCCAATGATGAACCTGTTCAATCCCCCAGATTTCATGGTATTGACAGTCTGGGTAGAAACATAATCCAGTCACAACTGGAGGTGAGATCTCAGGTCAGTAGAGGGAAGTTCCCATGACTGAATCCTCTTGGGGAAGGAGAAACACAGATATCAGATACACATCTGCTTCTCTGATGTGATGCATACGGCTCAACGGGTAGAAGGAGACAAGCCTGTAGCACACGGCCTAGGCCTTTCCAATCTAGATCATGACAAAAATAAACCTCTTGTCTCTCTAATCAAGTTCATTACTGGAATTTTATTATAGCTATTGAAAGTTAGCTAAAATGCAGATGAATTTAGATTCTATAAACACACATTGTAGGTTTTATCAGCACACAAGGAAACTAGAGCTATACTGACTGGCGTGTTGTAGGTCTGTGAGCAGTAACAGCTTCTAGGACTGCATTACAAAACCAGAAACACACATCTTTGAACAAAAATTATAATAGCTTGAAATCCAACTTAAACTCAGTATTTTATGATGTTTTACAATATGCATTTTTATTCTTTTCACATAAAACACTTGTTTCTGTAAGCCAGTGATTATTTTGCCTCACCTCAATTAAATGCTGTATTACTTTCCAAGAATTACATAAAAGTTGCCTCTACAAACATCTCCTCACATGGCCCTTTCCATCTTGACACATTGTCTTCTTAAGAGGACACCATTTGTATTGATGTGAAAGGCACAGTAATCTGGTATGATCTCATCCAGAGGTACACTGTCATATGGTATGATCTCACCTAATTGTATCTATAAGGAAAGGTAGAATTCTGAAGCAATACTTGGGCATGTCTTGTCTTTAGTGAGTGAGAACTGACAGTGGAATCATCTTCCCTGGAGCTTCCCCTGCCCACTGTCACCTTCTGGGGGTACCCACATTCATGCCACAACAGTTGTCAAATTCTTACCCAGACTTCACACGGGCAAGAAGAGCACCTACCTGGTCCTTGCAGAGAAAAGACTGCCTTCCTTGCACTTGCGTGTGCAAGAGGAGAGAGATAAGAACTCTCTGGATGTAGTAGTTAAATTTAAGAATTAAGTGTTTTTCTCATGGCCATATTTCCTATCACAGGACAAAAGCGAGTCAGACAGAAATGGGGGAAAATGAAATGAAGGTTCTGAGCGACACAGTGATGATCGTAATAGTGAGCACTTCCTGGAGACCTGCTGTGTTCAAGGCAGGGGTCTTAGCATCTGCGTCTGCTCATTGGCTTTGTGTTTGTGCAGAAATCTGTGAGGCTGATACATCATTTCTTACTGACAGGGAACCTGAGGCATTGAGTGGCTGTCATTCTTAAATCTCGGTGTGTAGAAGACGAAGGTAAGATCTGGACCCAGTCTGTGAGTACTGGCATTGCATTCCTGTCTATCACTGCCTCACATCAGAGAGGGGAAGTCCTGTCAAAGGCGAACAGATTTCAGGCTCAGCTCCCAGCTTTCAATGTTTACTTTTTCTAAACGTTTTGCCATTTCCATAAACTTACGACTGCTAGGTTTTTATAACCTGGGAACAACTGGGACAAATTGAGTCCCCAGAAATGGCTTGGCACCCTGGCATCCATTAAACGTGGAGCACAATGAGTAGTGTGGGTGGGAGCTGTCAGGAGTCCACTGTGAGCACCCCCACATTTGGCATTATCTCTTAGGAAGGAAGAAAGGACGGGGAAAAGGAAGGAAGGAAGGAAGGAAGGAAGGAAGGAAGGAAGGAAGGAAGGAAGGAAGGAAGGAAGGAAAAAAGAAAGGAAGGAGAGAGGAAAGGGAGGATGGGAGACAAGGAAGGACTTAAATTTTTCCAGGTGGGGCTGGAGAGATGGCTCAGTGATTAAGAGTGCTGTTTATTTTTCCAGAGGACTTGGTTTTTCATTCTAGCACCCACATGGTGATCCACAACTCTCTATTAACTACACTGTATGGAATAATTCACCGCTGTGGAACACTCCTTTTGTGCACTGTGAAGATTTGTCACTTGGATTGGTATAATAAAAAGCTGATTGGCTGGTAGCCAGGCTGGAAGTATAGGTGGAACAACCAAACTTAGGCTCCTGGGAAAAAGAAAGGTAGCTTAGAGGAGTCATGAGAAACTCAGAGAAAAGCAAGGTGGCATGCCATACTGAAAAAAGGTACAGAGTCACGTGGCAAAATATAGATAAGAAGTATGGGTTAACATAAATGTAAGAGTTAGCTAGTAATAAGCCTGAGCTATTGACCAAGCATTTATAATTAATATTAAGCCTCTATGTGGTTATTTGGGAGCGGCTTGCAAGACAGGAAAACTCCGCCTACAATTCACAGGGATCTGAAAATTTTTTTCTCAGTGTTCCAGGTGCTATCAGAAGGCTCTGTAGGATGGAAAGTTCACAACTGGACAGTGCCTCAAGGCATGGCTTTTCTTACTAGGCTGCTGCCCCTCACGTGAAACCTTGCTAAACAGAAGCATTATGTATATTCACAGAATAAGAACATGGATGCAGAAAATATGAGAATGGAAACACTGTAGCACAAAGCCATTTAATAAACAGGTGTCAGTCATGCATCCCTGGACCTTCCTTCCTGAACTATCCCTGCGTACATAAAGGTGATGCTTCCCTGCTTAACCACAGTCATCAGAAAGCCTGCCTAAGAGCATTATTTTGGTCAGGGTTCATGGTGGGTGAACCAGGTCTCTCTCTCCTAACCCCAGTTCTAATCCAGGAGAAAAAGGCCAGCCCTCGGGTGACCTGAGGGTCTTTCTGAAGTATTAGAAAATACAAAGGCGCACAAGTGAAACATAAACTTATGACTAGGGTATAAAGATTGACGTAGCTCTGGGGTAATATATCTTGTTTGTACAAATAAAGGATGCCGAAGATCAGAGGGCGAAGCTAGCCACTAGCTAACCATAGAGGTTTGGAGGTCTGTACAGACAGACAGGAAGTGATAGGACTGAGCGGAGAGAAGAAATGAGAAGGTCCGAGGAAAGAGGAACTCTTTTCAACTGGGAAGCTGAGAGGTAAGGTCGTCGTGGTTTTGCTCCTTTGCCTATCTAATCTCTCAGCATTTTCCCCAATATCTGACTCTGGACGTTTATTATTAAGACCTATTAGAATGCGTGCTACACAGCTTCCTACTTAGAGACCTGTGACTGCAGACCTCCGTCTCACTCCTTCTCCCAGCAAATGCCCCCCGCCTTACAGCCACTCAGCACCGTGAGGTTGACAGACCCTCAGCAGACAAATGACTCCGTGGGGCTCATTGCGGTCGGTCCCTATGTGTGTGGACAGATGTGAATTAGAGACAGATAAAGCCAGCAGCCAGAGCTTGCCAGCAGTCAGGGTACCACTTCCCGATCTTTTGACTTGTGTTCACTCATTCAGCCAAGGCAGAGAGTCAGCCTACGGAGTCAGGCCAGAATCACACGCTTTGAACATCTTCCTCCTCCCCATCATCAGCATGACCTATTTATTTCACTTTGCCCTGACTGGCAGCCCCTATCCTGAATACCCACCCATCCCTCGCTCTTACGTAAGTTCTATCTCTGCAACCATTCTCTTACCAGTGTGAGACTCTTCCCTGATGCTTCATCTTGAGCATCTTTAGCATCCCTCAGTTTCACAATGCATTCCTCAGGTTATATAATGGTCATATATATGAGTGCTTGTACTTTCTCATTCCTCTGCCTGCTGGCACCCCAGTCCTAAGCCTGTCTTTATCGCTCACTGAGCAATAGCAGCTAGAATAATTGCTCCTCCAGACTGCTGTTGACTAATTAGCAGGTGCTGTCTGGTTTGTTCCTCACTACCTGTTTTTCTGCAGTACCTCTTAGCCTTTCACCCCACCCCACCTCTTCTTCAAGCTATTATCTCCCAGTCAGCATCTCGGTTATCAATCTCCTCCCTGGAGATTATCCTTTCCTGGTCTTTCATATTCCTTTGTTTACACACATATTTTCAACCCATCGCCCTTCTGGTAGTTTCCATGTTAATAGCGTAATTACTTTTTAATAACTTTCAACTTCAGGAACCCTATAAATACTTGGCCCAGGCTGCGGAACTGCGCCATCAAACATTATTCCGATATACCCAAAGGACACGGGCGAAACCAGAGAAGCCACCATGGACACTGCAGGAAAGGTGAGTGGGTTGCTCCGTGACGCCCCATAGCCCCTTCACTGCCGTCGAGCAGGTGCGTGTTTAAAAGCAATTAGAAATTTAGAATTTGTGTTCTCTGCTCAGATTATTAACAAATTTGAATGACAATAGTACCCAAAGTATCTCAAGATGTGGAAAGTCTTCCGGCACTGTCTGGAGAATGAATTTCTGACAAGTTGACATAGGATAATTTGCTAATACTGTAGCAAAAGCTTTGAAATTTGCCTGTCATTTCATCCGGACATGTGTGAGGCTGGAAAGCTATCTGCTGTGCCTCGGAGGTCCCTCGGACTGGAAATTGATCCCGGTAAAAAACCGCGTGTTCTTACAAGCAGGTTAATAGCGTTGTGGTAAAGAGCGTGGATGGAAACAGCATCTGCGACGTGTTAGAGAGCTGCGGCTATAATGTACTAGTGAGTCTTAAGTGGGCTATTGCCCATCCTGTTACACGGAACAGCAGGCTGAGCCCCAGACTGTGAACACGCAGTGCGAGCACAGAGCATCAAAGGAAGAACTTACTCGACATCATTAGCAGTGGTGAGAGCTGGATGTTAAGCTTCCTCCCTAAGGGAGTGAGCATTTGTCTGTGTACCTTAGTGTTTTGTGTTCTCTGTATATTGCTTTTGAAATAAGGAATTTTTTCCCTAAAAGCTATTTTTTGCCAAAAGTTTTGAGTGGAAAGCAAATTTATTCTAATTACGTTGTTCATAGACAAAAGTAGTATTTTCTATCCCTTTAGTTGAAAGTTCTTGTGACCCATGTCCTTTTTCTTTGTAAGATTAAAATTGGTATTATCTCTTCCACCGGAGATTAAATTCCTTTCAATAGATTTTTCTCCACTTATAATGACCAATGCAGAAATCATACCTACAAATGGAATACATTTCAAGGTATACAAACTAGTATCACCGGGTGTTAAGTCTAAAAGTTAAGCTAGTCCACACTCATTGAGGAAGGAGCTATTGCAAGACTACACAGAAAGATACTCAAGTCAACAGAAACAGCCTCTACAGAGAAACCTGGAAAAATAATTTGTTGCACAACAACAGTGCACACCAGGCCACCCTGAGATAGCTCATTTCGATGCTAGCTTCACACTACACAAAGAAATAATCTTCAGTTAAATGTGAGTTAAGTGTTTGAGAAGCAAACTGGAAAAGTTTCAAAGAGAGGATGAGAAAGAGTTGTTACTCTACAGAGAATTTCCAGACCCTGGAAATGGAATAATTTATAAAGGAAAAGACTTTCATAAACAAACATCATGAAACATGTGCATCATTTCATACAAAATCAATATGATATAAACAGCAGAGGAAAAAGTTGCAAGATGAGCTGAGAGACAGCAAGTTAATCCCTGGATGTTTAAAGAAGTCATTTAAGTTTAGCAAAAGAAATAAGATGCCAATAGGTCTGTAAATACATGAGAAAGCCCTTCCACATCTACCAGATCATGGCAGATACCCATACTGCCACCCTGAAAACATACCAATGAAGACTGTGGGCTTCTTCTGCCTGGGCAATATTTTGTTAATGCTACAGCCAATGCGAAGTATAATGGAATATATGATAGCAAAGGCAATTTATTGCTCTGGAGAGCGGGTCAAGTGAGTGATTAAATCTTTCTGTAAAGAGATTTGGAAATGAACTTAGCATTAACAATGACTCTCTTTCCCGAGAAATTTTCACTTAAGGAAACACACCAACCAAGAAAAAAAATATGAACAGATGTGTTCATAATACACTTTGTAAGAGGAGAAACAATGGAAGATTCCTATAGCTAGGTAGTTATTAAGAAAATTAAGATATACCCACATATAGTGGTCATTTCAACCTAGGACAATGAAGTTCTTCAAAGTCAAGAGAAATGCTAATAAACATGTCAATGGTAACGATTCTTCTGAGACAGTGACTGTCTCAGAAGAGAGGAAGAAGAAGAACAAGGAGAAGGGAGAAGAAAGAAGGCAAAGTTCCTTATATGGAATAATCTTAACTATTTTAAAATTATTAAGATTTTATAAGAAAATATATTTTGAAAAGTTGTAAGAAAATTTGCTAAATTCTTGGAGGTTTATGCTTGGGATGCAGTTGACTTGTTTATATTGATTTATTTTGGGCTTTTTCCCTATGATTTTGATACTTTTACAAATAACAGCAAGTGTGATCAGAAAAAAAAAGGAATTTATTGGTAAATGCCATTTTATTTTGTGCCCATTAGACAATCACATGCCGGGCAGCCATTGCCTGGAAAGAAAAGTCTCCTCTTAAAATTGAAGAAGTGCAGGTTGAGCCACCGAAATCTGGAGAAGTTCGCATTAAGGTAAGTTCAAGCTGGCCAGTATTCACTTTTGAGGATGAAAGAAAATGATACTACACTTCAGAAAATAGTAGGGGTTGAAGAGATGGCTCAGCAGTTAGGAGCACGGGCTTTTCCAGAGGACCCAGGCTCTATTCTCAGCACTCAAGGTTAGTGGCTCATAACTGCCTGTAAATCCAATTTCCAGGGATTTCACTCTGTCTCTCTGCCTTCACAGGCAGCTAGGTTCGCACACACATAGACCCAGATGGATACACTTGTACACACATAATTAAAATTAAAAATAGGGATTTAAAATTCTAAAAAAAAATGTTGATGGAAAAAGGAGAATTAAAAAAAGGACAGATGAGGAATGAAAGGCAAAACAGAAAAACAAGGAACTCACACTTGGTAAGTTACAGACAAGGATGTGTGTCCTATGAGACTGGCTCCAGCCCCTACTCAGGGTTTCAAAGATGAATGCTTCTCAGGAGCAAAGGGGATGAAAAGGATTTATATTAGAACCTCACACAGACTGGCTAGTGCTCCTCATTTCACCTGCTCTTTATTGTTCTGATTCTACTCTAATAATCCCATCCTCCTTCAAACTTCTCCATGCTTCTTCTTCTTCTTCCTCTTCCTCTTCCTCTTCCTCCTCTTCTTCTATTCTAAAAACTCTTCTCCTACTGGAGCCTTGAAGCATAAGGAGCTGAGCTGCTCACCATGGCAAAACAAAGGTCCAAGGCCATAGGAGCAAAGCCTCGACCAGACAGGGAGAATGCACAGTGTTCAATGACAACGTTGAGACTCAGATCAATTGTTAGTGGACTGGCAAGTGAAAATTTGGCATGTTTTTTTTAGTAGCCTTGGTTGGATATCTGTGAGTCTGACCTTGTGTGAGCTGCACAGTTTTCATTTTAGAAAATGCCTTGATTCTAGTTGAATTTTTTTCTGAGGTGAAAATGAGTTAATTATGTGTAGTAGTAAGCAGGCTTACAGGTGTCTGTAGTCATCATGGGATAATAAACCTAGTTATGAAGCATGTCCCAGTATGTATTCTATATATCAAAACTACATAACTAAATGAAAAGTCATCCATTTGACCATCCACAGATATGTGTGACCATAAGATTCAGATGCAATCGTAAGATTACACACACACACATTACATGACAATGCACAGCAAAAGGGAAATTCATGGCTGTTATTGCACAAGTAAAATTACAGAAGAAAGCCGCAGTTTTCAGAGGAAGCTATAATTGTGTCATGGCCTGCAACAGCTTCTGATAAACGCTCCTGACAATGGTGTTCTGAGAGTTTGAGAACAAAGGGAAAAGTGACAGAAGAGTAGCCATGGACAGGGCTCAATCATTGTTCTGGCCAAATACTCTCTGGAAACCGTGTTCCCTTCCTTCTCATACACCCAGAGAGCTGTCACTGCTGACTGTGTGTTGTGCCACCATCTACAACGCTTCCGAGTTGATTGGTCACCACTCTTGGGCTACTATGCTCCATACTCATAAAGACCATACCCTAGGTCAGACCTGCAGACGACTCCACTCAGCTGCTGATTATAGTGGCTAGAAATCAGCATTGTCACATTGAGCCCTTGATAAAATCAAAGTCAGAGATTGGATATGCCCACTGTGGTGGGCGAGTCCCTGCCCTCCTAACTTATTTGATGAACCATGGCTACAGATAATCCCATATTCTCATTTGCTATACACAACAAAGGAATAAGAGCCTAGAGCTTCCGTATATAAAAAGCATGTCTAGCCTTTGGTAGCATCGAGAAGCCATTGTAACACAGTGAGGACCCACTTGCTGCATTCAGACGTGGCTCTTTCTGGTGTTCCTGCCGCTTCTTCTGCCACAGATGATGGAAACACATAGACTGCTTTTCTGCACTCTTCTGGGATCCAGAATCCATAGGCCTTTGAGTATGTGGTGTCTCATTTGGAAGGTTTAATGTAGATGGGTTGGGCCAACCACAGGCAAGAAATCTCAAATAATTATCTAAGAAGTTTTTATGTTTCCCATAACAGTTAAATCTTGCAATATTAGTTTATTTAGCTTAATCTTATTTTACAATATCATTGCCTCTCTCTCTCTCTCTCTCTCTCTCTCTCTCTCTCTCTCTCTCTCTCTCTGGTCTGTCTGTGTGTCTATCTGTGTTTCTCTGGAGACAGACAAGATTCCACTATGTAGTCCTATCTGGCCTAGAACTCTCTATGTAGACAAGGCTGGCACTTAGCTTATAGAGATCTGTCTGCCTTTGCCTCCCTAATGCTAAAGATGCTCTGGCTATCTTAGAACTCACTCTGTAGAACAGGCTGACCTCCAACTCACAGAGATCCACCTGCCTCTGTCTCCAGAGCACTGACAGTAAAGGTAGGCGTCACCGTGCACAGCCTTAAGGAAAAATTCCAACGTGCAAGTTTTAAAATTTTGAAAATTGGTTTACCCAAAGCATTGAACTTCACAATATTGAACCTGAAATTTTGTGTCTCTTGATAGTGGTGCTATTGTTAATATTTCCAAAAATGAAAACAAAACCATTTTGTTTCACAACTCCTCATTTCATAGGTCATATGGACTAGGTTTCAAAAGACAAGTTTATTATGAGGGGTGAACATGAAGCTATGTGACACTGGATAAGTCATTTCAGTCCCTGGGCCTCTTTTCCCGACCAGTCCTAAATTGGTAGGGAGAACTTCTGTGTTCCTCTCGTTAGATATAAGTTAAAAAGCAATAATAAGACAACAGTGGGCAGTCCAGAGATGCAGGTTATTGGGAGAAAGAGCTTGAGACCATGATCAGGCCTGAAGGTTGCGGGGTGGTGGGGAAGGGATAGCGTTAGACAGAAGCAATGCCATGGATGGAAAAGACAGAGAGCAACCATTGAGGGGGTGGCGAGGAGCCCTGAGATGCCTCATAGAGGGCAGTGTGGAGTTCACCCCAAGCTAAGGCCTCTGAAACAGCTCTGCACCAATCCCCAGAACAAAGGAAACACCTAACTTATGTACGTTTTGGGGTGAGGGGGCTGATGGGAAGTTTTATAGCACGTGATTTGATTCAGCATGGTGGACATGACAGAGATGGAAGGACCAAGTTCTCTGCACAGAGCTGTCAAGGGGCGACACAGACTGACTCTTTCCTCTGTCGCAGCAGGAAGCGCAGGGAGGGGCAGCGGTGGGGTCTGGCCTTTCCAAAGGGATCTCTCTTTAAGGGACAGACTGTTGTCCTAACACATGAGTGTTGCTTTAGGGATCAAGTGAGATCATTCGTATCAAACAAAACACAACCGAACACTCGGTCTAAAAGAGGGAGGAAGAAAATCATAAACCATTTGTCTTAATTTCTGTGCAGATGGCTTCTACAGGGATCTGTGGCACCGATGACCACGTGCTGAAAGGAGACCTCTCGATGAAATACCCTTTAATTCCAGGTCATGAGGGAGCAGGAATTGTGGAGTCTGTTGGCGATGGGGTTTGCTCTGTGAAACCAGGTAGGAAATGGGAAACAGTATTCTTTGGGAGCAGAACACCGGGACTCTGGCTGCACTGTTAGCTTATTTGGCAGAAAAACAAGTTGGGTTTGACTCTCTAGATTCTTCTCGCTGATGACATGTCACATTATTGAATGAAGTCAGTAATGGAAAGGGCCCCATCACTGTCACCTCTTTTCTTTCACATAAAGGGTATGGAGAACAGCTCCTGGGCAGCCAGATAAAGGTTGACATAAGAGCGGAGAGTCTCCAAACTGGGTGAAAGGCCCTTGGGCTTTAGAACCACTTATGTTTTGATTCAAAAATGTTTTTAGAATGGTGTTGGAGTCTTTGGCAAGGGAATGAATGTTGTAGCAAACCAGAATGTACTGCTTGAAAGGTCATGACAGACACGATGACGGTTACCTTTCAATGAATTATCCCCAGTTGCATCCTAAAGGACCTTGGCATCGTTATCCTTAGCACTACAGAGACAACAGGCTAGACCTGGCCGAGTCTTCAGGAGTCTGTGATGACTGCATAGGTCAACCTTCTCCCAAGCCCCACCCTGTCTGTCACTCTAAACCTCGGGGCAAGAGCTGAGCCAAGACCCAAACGTCATCAAGATTCTCTCCAGAGCTCTTTTGTAATAATTGTTCCAGAAAGAATATGGAGGAGAAAGAACATTTTTCTCTGAAGTTGACATGTCTTAGAATTGATCAGCACTAAACCAGCGCCAGAGGCCTGCAGAGTATCAGTGTGAGAGTGAGCCTTGCAGAATCGGGAGAGAGTGTTGACATTGTCGGGCTACCATAAACAGGCTTTTATGTGTAGCCTTGGCGGTCCTAGAACTAGCACTGTAGACCAGGCTGGCCCCAAACTCACAACCTATCTCTGCCTCCCAAGTGCTGGGATTAAAGCCCGTGCTGCCACTGCCCACAAGGGATTACATTTTTTAAAATGAAAAACAAAAGAATTAACTAGATGACTTCAAGATCCCTTCCTGGTTCTACTGTTCTATTTTCTAAGTAGGGAAAGGTGGTCCTACAACCCTCTACCTGGGGGGCAATGTCTCATCTTTACCCAAATGGTGAAGATTTGAAACCAGGTATAAGAGACTTGTGCTTTGAAACCACCTGGGGTGTCACACTGGCTGCTGCCATCTGTCCACAACATGTTTTCAAGAGAGCCGAGATTTTATTATATTTTTATTACATGAGTAATTTTGGGTTTATTGCTTTATCTCCCCCCCCCCCCTGCAGGAGATAAAGTCCTCACGCTCATTGTTCCACAGTGTGGAGAATGTGATGCCTGCTTGCACTGCTTAGGAAACTTCTGTGACAAGCAAGAGTTAGTAGATTTGTTTCTTCCCTTTTATCCAATTGCTCACATTGTATGTGCCCAATGGTGACCTCGTCTCTCTTTTCAACTTCTAATGTCTGTGCCTGTTCGTGGGTGTCTGTCTCCATCACTGTGGGACAGTGTTCTCCCGTGTTCTGGGGTGATGATGGATGGAACCTCGAGATTTTCCTACCGAGGACAGACGGTTTATCATTCCTTCCGCACGAGCACATTCACCGAGTACACTGTTGTGCCCGAGTTCGCTGTGGTAAAAATTGATGATGTGGCTCCATTGGATAAAGTTTGTCTCATAAGCTGTGGCGTCCCTACAGGCTACGGAGCTGCTGTTAACTCAGCCAAGGTGAGCGAGGCATTTGTTGTTAGTTCGCAAAGCAGGCCCAAAATGGCATTGCTGCCGACTGTGTCCTGAGATGACCGCCTGGGCCTAACCCAGTCTGGATTCTTATTGGGTTTGGATCTGGTAAACAGAAACCTAAACTTGGTATTCCTCAGGAACCTCTTGGTCCCGGTTTCTGTCATCCGGAAATCAACCACTGCCCTTCCCTGCCCCCAACAACAAAGTGTGTCTTGTCCCTGATTAACCCAAACAGCCCGCCTGTGACAGTCCAAAGTCCTCAGGCTAACTCCTTGCTGTTCCAGTCCCCCCACCCACCTCCTATGCCAACCTGCGGGCTAAAACTGATAAGGCCGGGCAAGTTGTTTTTCTTTACTCTCCCAGGCAACCCTGGCAGTTTGTCCCCCAACAAACTTCTCTCTACCCAGGGAATGGTCTAGTCCCGTGGTTTGAGTGCACCTCACTCACCTTTGTGTGTTATCCGTATGTCATGGGGAGGGAGGGGATCAAAACTAGACCGAATCTGTCCACGTGATCCAAGTGCTATACACACAGCTTCCAAAAGCAAACTAGTTTCCTTTGGTTGTTTTTATTCCCTGGTTTATTTTCTTAGCTCTCTGTGCCCAGCTTTGAAAACTAATAACGGCACAATGCGTGAATCTGCAGGTCACCCCTGGCTCCACCTGCGTGGTTTTTGGACTCGGAGGGGTCGGCTCAGCCATTGTCATGGGCTGCAAAGCTTCTGGTGCTTCTCGAATCATCGGGGTTGACATCAATGAGCAGAAGTTTCCCAAGGCAAGAGCCTTGGGTGTTACTGATTGTCTCAACCCTACAAAGCTCCAGAAGCCTGTCCACGAGGTGGTGATGGAAATGACAGGTGTCGGTACTAACTTTGCCTTTGAGGCCGTCGGAAAGATTGAAACCATGGTGTGTTTACGGGGCACAGTGAGGGGGGCTGCCTCAGAGGCATAATCTGCAAATATGCTCTTCTGGAAATATGTTTTAGGCCTGTGTGCCGCCAGTGAAAAATGGAATATAGATTCCCTCTATAGTCTTAGTTTATGAAATAAAGACAATATAGAAAAGAGATCTAAAGTTACAGTATACAGAACTGAGATATGCAAAGAGCCATGAGCTCAGGAATTCACTTTTCTCAATTCTAGTTATTTATATGTAAATAAGAAAATGATCAGAATCACATATATTTATCTGTGGCTTCTAACAGAACTTGAGAAACTGTCAAACTTATATCATTAGGAAAAATCTATCTGACGGCACAAAGAAATCCAATCAGACCAGATTAAGCCAAATTAAATGCCCGGGTTTATTAGCGGCATGCTCCCGGGTGGCTGGGAGAACATGACAAGGAAAAGACACAGAAAACACACTCGCACGCACACATGTATGCACGCAAACCCTAAACCACATGTTTCTCTTTTTGGCACGAACTTAAATATCCTGTGGGGTCAGCACTTGGAAGGCTGGGAACTGGAGTCCAGAAGTAGAGTCTGACCCAAGGCAACTCCCAGGCCAGGGACTTCCAATCACCTATACCTCCATGTGTCAACCTCTATAGCTACAGGGATTGATGACCTAGCTGGCAGCCTCCTGGGTCATACAATTTAGAGAAGGGGATGTATATATACATTACATGGAAATGTGTGTCTAGCTCCTTGGTCAAAGGCCAAAGGATGTGAGTGTAAAGAGGAAGATGACAGAAAAGAGGCCAATTAGGTAAAATCTGAGGGGAAAGAAAAGAAAGGAAAAGGAAAGAAGGCAAAAGAGATAAGAAAATGTGTGCTTATGAACCAATCCCTAGAAAATTCATTTTTTAAAATGAAGCTTCCCCTGGTTACATCTATGTTTACTATGTTCTGTTCTGATTTGTTCTAGTACATATCAATTGGGCAGTAAAGCGTAGCAAGTGAAAAGTTAGACATATAGAATGTGTGGCCCTTATGGCAGTTGATACTTTTATTGAACACACCATTTATTCTTGTAGGCTGGTGTTGTGATCAGGGGTTTTAAGGATGATAAATCGGTCTGTACTCAGAACCATCCTACAAGGAAACTGAGTCAGCACGGAGGTTAAAGTGCCTGCCTGAGTCATGTAGGTGGCTGGCTCTCTGAGGAGATGCAAACATGACCCTGGTGTCGAGGTTGAATTTAAAGTTGTATCTACCCAAGAGAAGTCCAAAGCTCAAGGGTATCAAGGGTATCCAGGATCCCTTCTCCTTGTGGGGAGTTGGTATCAATGTATGGGCGTGCCTGTGACTGTCGCTGTCCTTCTCAGCTCGCTGCTTGGAACTCCTGCAACAGCAGCTACGGGGTCTGTCTGATCGTCGGGGTGGCTCCAGTAAATGCACAGCTGTGCCTTCAGGCGGTCTCGATGGTGACCGGAAAAACCCTGAAGGGCGTGTGTCTGGGAGGTAGGTGGAAGGACGCGATCCCTTAGGTCCTCCTCTGAGGGGACCAGACATCTAGAGTAATGTGTCCAGGGACTCCTCCTGAAATGAGAGTAGCGTTCTTCAAATTGCCTTTTTTTTTTAATTTGGGGGAGGGTGTATTATCATGTATGCATGTGTATGTATTCATATGAGTACACGTGTTCACATATGTACATGCATGTGTGTGGGTGTTTGATATCAGGTACTTCCTCTGTCCTGCTCACTTTTTGGCACAGAGCTCCTCACTACAGCTGGAGCTCACCAGCTGGACAAAACTAGCTGGCCAGTGAGTTCCAGGAATCCTCCTGCCTCCACTTTCCTAGAGCTAAGGTTACATGTGCAAACTACCATTCCTGACTGTTTACCCTGGGTGCTAGGGATCTGAACTCATGGAAAGTACTTTACCAACCAAGCCATATTCCCCACCACCAAATTAATTTTAATTAGTTAAATAAAATAACAGAGCCATTGAGGATTATAATTTTCCTCTGATAAAAAAGATTTTTGTTGCAATTAGAGTAATTTAATTAACTTTGATTCTGCATCGATGGATTCAGTTTATTGTGCTACTAGTAATGCCTTTTTTAGTGTCTTAAATGTCATTATATGCACTAAACTGGTATTTTGACCATGTGTTTCTATCTTCCCAGAAAAATCCTTATTTCTGAGCAATATTGGTTAGCTGACTTAAAAAATTAACACTCCCATTTCTATCCATTCATCTAGGGGTGAGAGTCCAGGCTATCTCCATGCATGTGGATACAGAGGGTCCCCGTGCCATCTCCATGCATGTGGATACAGAGGGTTTACATGCCATCTCCATGCATGTGGATACAGAGGGTTTACATGCCATCTCCATGCATGTGGATACAGAGGGTTTACATGCCATCTCCATGCATGTGGATACAGAGGGTTTACATGCCATCTCCATGCATGTGGATACAGAGGGTTCCCGTGCCATCTCCATGCATGTGGACAAAGACAGTTTCCACAGCACATCTATGTATGTAGATAGAGAAGACGCCCACAGATGCAAGAGGAAATTGTTTGGCAATGGAATCCCAGAATATGGCTTGGTAAGGTAAAGAGATTATTTTTCAACTCAGTAATATGAATATTGACCAAGATTTCATTTAAAGGATGACCAGGTAACAGAACTATCTATAGAAACCACTTTAGCAGCAGCTGTCAGTGGCTGCTCAGGTACAAATGATTTCTCCTTTATTTTTGAATGATAATTTTTCAGAGAGTATCTTACCCATCTCTCATGACTTACTTCATTTTTTTTAACTCTTTTGATTGGCTAATCTTATTTTTGCCACATTTATTTTACTATTATTTGTGTATTGGGATGTGTGACTGTGTATGTGAATGTATGTGTACGTGTGTGTAAGTGTGTGTGTGTGTGTGCACATGTGTACGTGCCAGAGCACCCATGACGAGCTCAGAGGATGGCTTATCAGAACTGATGACTTACCTTCTGGGGCTCAGAGATCTAATTCAGGCTGTCTGGTCCCTACAGCAAGTGAGCCATCCCACCAGCCTGGTTGGTCTTGGATCATATTACTAATAGCCATTTTGTTTTACAGATTATAAGACCAAAGACTGTATTCCCCAGCTAGTAACTGACTATCTCCAAAACAAGATTAACATTGATCCACTAGTGACCCATCAGCTGCCTTTTAACGAACTCCACAAAGCCATGAAACTGTATCATAAAGGAAAAACGTGAGTTTTTGCTTGATGCTCTCCTATATTCTGATAACTCACAGAGGAAATGACGACTTGGGTGTTTCTAAGTGGTTTTGTTAAAGGCGCAGGGAGGGCTCCTTGGACCTTTGGTATCTTTTATACACATCTCCCTATTTCCTGATGTCATCAACAGAGGAAAAGCTTTACCTGCGGCCTCTCTTTGGGGAAAGTCTACTCCATCCATTTGAGAAAGATAGTGAAGAATTCAGCACAACACAAATTCACATTGGGCAATAGTGTTTATTTGTCTGGTTAGCAAAATTTTCTAAAACAATTGAGATGAATTTCTGGAGTCAGCAACCTTGCAAGAAGTTCAAAGGAACGTGTTTAGACCCCTGCCAAGGGCAAAAATCCTTGTGTAATAGTTTAACGGTGGAAGGTAACCTTGGTGGATTGGAGCCAAAGGGTACCACAAAGCCACACCACACAACAGAGCTCACGTGGGAAGTTTATTGGAGGGTGGGGTGCCGAGGTGGAAGGAAGAAAGAGAGGGTTGAGAAGGGCTTGCTTTTTCTAAGGGGATCTAGTGAGTATATGCACATAGGGAGCCTGCTCTACTCGCTGGCTGCGGCGGTCACGGGGTCACATCTTGGCTGCTGCTGCTGACTTGTCTGCTAGGCTCCCAAGGGCAGGCCTGTGTAAATGCTTGAATGCCAACACCTCGTACATCTTTTCTGAATAATGGAACCCACATGTTAGCAAGGCTTTAAGAATGCACCATTTACTCCGCAAGCACTGATTTGTTCACATGTTCTTGAAATGCTCGGGAGTTGGTGGAGGACTGTTGCTGTGTGTGAACAATTTCCTGAGGACTTCTATCAAACACACACACACACACATACACGCACACACACACACACACACACACACCTATGCACCTATGTCCTGGAGAAGTCCCACGAAAGACCACCATCCACGTATGCAATCAGCAAGAGCGTTTATTATTCTAGCATGCTGGGGCCTACCATCCCACACAAAGGCAAGGGCAAGATGACAAAGACTTCCCCCCCCAACCCCCCCTCCCAAGAAGGCCAAGTGGGCTTCTTTTAAGCACAGCCAAGGGACGGTCCTAAAGCAGGTCATTTTGAAAGTGATTGGCTCAAGTAAGTGACAATCATATGAGTGCATTCTAATTGGCCAGGGCTGGGCAGGGCTACAGTTTTCCCTTTTGGGGCAAGCCTGGACAAGTTCCTGGCTTTGTCCTTGAGCAGCTGTGGAAGCTGGCTGGCCTAGCATGTACTGACTGTGGGGGCTGGCTCACTCAATCCTGGTCCTGCGAGTACGGCCTTGCTGTCAGGTGTTGGAGATTGATTGTCCTTGGTGGCTCTTCCCCAGAAGCTGCTTGCCCAGTCGTAGGAAACTGAGGCCTGATCTCTGAGAGAAGGCCAAAGCAGCCTCTTATGGCATCAGCTTGCTCCTCTCGACCTACTCACCCCAGAAAGGGAACCCACAATAGGCCAAAGTAACGATTACACCAGAGTCCAACTCGGTTAGCCACTGAGTTCTTATTGGGGTTACTAACAGGTGTGAAGGGGTATTCACAGGAACAGAGATGACTCTAAAGAAACTGCTTCACAGAAAAGCTCCCCCCACCCTCCAGCATGGGTGATGATGACTCACAAAGGCTGTGCCTTTGGAGCTCTCTGCACCAGTTACAGACAAGCAGCTCAACAGATGCCAGGGACCTCTCCGCAGCTGGACTTTTTAGAATCTCCTCTTGAGTGGCTTACCATGTCCATGGCCCTGGGCTGGGGGGGGGGGGCGTACTACAAATCTTGCAAGCTTCTGCTTTCCCAGACTGGTAAGTTTGTTTACTTCCTGCCTTTCTCCCTCCTGGAGCAAATGCTTGAATTTGGAGACAGCTGTCCTGCAGTTGTCTTCCAGGACTGCTACAAGGGTTGGAGATTCAGTGTAGAGCTTGAAACAAGCAGCAAAGGAATGTCTATGAATGTGCTTTTCTCGGTTCACTTTGAAGTGAGTCTCCAGTCTGTATTCTTTCCCCGACTCTGCGCCCACACTTCGTTTGCTAAATAATTTTTATCTGAAAACCTTCACATTTTTGCCCTCTTCTTTCTGGGAAAATTTCACTGTGTATGTCAATCCATTTAAGTCAAGAACAAAGCTCCAGGGAAGCTCATCTGACAGTTTTAAATGATGATTGTATGTGGGGGAAGGCGTCTAGCAGGCAGTGGACTTACTGCAAGAGGAGAGGAACCAGAGAAAGTCACCTTTTTCTTTCTGGTCCACATGTTAGTCAAGATGCTACAGCAGCAGGATGTTGCTGAGAAGCTGTCCCTGAGGTCCTGGGGTCTTTTATGGTTGTGCAGTCATAGGGAACTACACGTGAAGAGGATGCCTTTCCTCTCTGTATGACACTGGATTCCAATCCAGCCCCCATTCAGATGCTGATTGTTATTTAGGTGAATTAGAGCAAAGAAGAAATGACTGTGCCATAGTTAGTGCTTCCCAGCTTATCGTGATCACAATTTTTTTTTTATGTTTCAGCATCCGCTGTGTTCTACTCTTCTAAGATCTCAATGCTGAAAGCGCAAGAGCATCCCGAATGGCTTTCCTTCCTTTCCTGTTTCAACTCTGATTATCCCCGAGCTGCCGGAAGAGACGGTGCATCAGTGGCAGGAAGACAGTGTAGCTGTCTTTCGTGAAATGAGGGCCTCTTGGCCATACTGATAATAAAATAAGTTGGGAGAACTGGTGTGCAGCTCACACTGTGACCTTAAAAAGAGAAGTGATCGCATTTGATTCGTGATAGTATTGATTATGTCCACAACCCATCTGATCGCGGCCATAAGTTCATGAAAGCTGTCTCCGTGTTCACATGTTCCAGATGCCTTCATCTGTGTAGCTCTCCCTGCGTCTTCCACACCGTTCTTGAGCTGACATAATGATCCTTCTGCTTTCCCAACATGCTGTGGTGAAGTCATCAATGAAGGGCCCCCTCAGATGCAGTGAGCCATTTTCTGTCCTTCAGGATTTATGTCAACCATTGCTCTTACTCGTGAAATAGTGAGGCGTGGCTCCTAGCTGCATATTTGGAAATTTTTACAACTTAGAACCGAGGGAGAAGGTAGAGGATCTTCCCAGAGAAGCTTGGTCACATCCCTAGCACCCCACTCCCTAATTCCACCAAGCATTTTCTCATCCACAACTTTAATGTAGTCTTCTCATTTAAAGCTGAGAGACAGAGGAGAGGGAACGAGGCTTAGCTCTTCTTATTCTTGACTTTTCCCTCATGCTTTATACTCTTACCTTTGGGTTTTGAAACATGAGGAAAATTCTTTCGTATTCTCCTTCACTCTGTTCTGATCCTGCTAGTTTTTAACTGGAATCCACCACTTCGTAGAGAAAGGGGATTATGCATGTTACTGTATTCTTAAGTTTTCAAAACACTGTTTAAATTGCACTGTTTCTTTGTTTCTAAATTTTAAAAAATTAGTCTTAAAAGTACTAAAATGATCTTTCAGAAGAGGCATCTAAATGTGTTCCTAATTTTATTTCTGGGCTTAGATTTTTCTAATCAATTTTTTAAAAGCTGGTGACAAATCTGATTGAACAATAGTGGGGAAAATGTTGGTGATGTAAAACAAATATGTATGGAAGATATTATGTATTCTATAAAAATGGTAATAGATGAATGCCTTAATATGTAAAGAATGTTTATAAATTAATAAATATGTGATAAATATCCCAGTAGAAAATTAACTTGCCAGAAACAAGTATCTTGCCAAATAAAAATTACTAAATAATGGTCTGGTGAGATGACTTAGTGGGTAAAGGCGATTGCTGGGAAAGTCTAGCAACATGAGTTCTGTCTCTGGGACCCATGTAAAGATGGGAAAAGAATCTGAGTGGACCAAGTTGGCTCCGCCCCTCCTCCACATGCTGTGGCAGAAGCACGCGCACACATACTGAGTGCTCAAACACACATACACAAAAACAATTGTTTTGGAAAAGAAAGGGGAATACTAAATAAAGTAACGAGAAGATTTCTCATATCATCAGGTTGTCAAAACATAAAACAAATGACACTCTGTAAATGTCAATGTGTGGGACAAACACAAGAGGACGCAGTCACAACGGGCTGGGGATGTCAAGATGCTCGTGGAACATGCCGTCACACCATGACCTAGTCTAAAGTCTCCATGAGATCTCAGCAGAGTAGAAACTGGTCTGGCAGTGAACAAGAACTCAGAGCATTCTCTCGAAGTGGAAGAACCCATGCAAATGTTGAGAGACAGGAGACAGCATGTCCAAACTTACTGTAGCATGCTGAGAACAAGCAGAATGGCTGTGTGGGAGACCAGAGAGATAAGCAGCTAGACAAGATGGTCTTATGGACCTCTTTCTTCGGACAGTTACATAAACAGATTGTATCACTTAAAATTAGAAACAGCCAAGATGTCCAGTTGTTGTTACTGATGGGATAATGTTTTTTCCTTAAATCATGGTACGTGGGACAATTTTTTCAAATGATGAAATATATTACTAAGTTTTAAAGTGAACCACAACCCTAAGCTAGTTTACAAATGCACACGCCTATGGTGTCTTTTTGATGTAAAGAAGTAAACAAACAAATAAATCTAGGAGTCTTCGCACTGAAATGATTAACTGTGGTTATGTTATGGTAAAATTACGCTCATCGTAAAGGAAAATTGAGGTGTTTTAAGAATACCTTGATTGGAAATGTTACAGCAATACTGACTCATTCCAGTCAGCATCTATCATACTAACACCTTGGCAATGCCTCTCAGATCATCTAGATAGACGCTCTCAAAGACTGAGTCCAAGACGGTGAGTGGTGTTGCAAAGAGAATGTTTAGTTGTTTATGAGACTCAGTTGGTTAGAGGTGCAAAACATTAACAAACGAGACAGGTCGGTGAGGAAAGAAAAATATCTGAAGAGAATAAAATTTGGGGACAATGAAAAGGACTCACACATTGTTGGTGGGGGGGGGGGAATGGGCAAACCAATGAGCAGGCAGTTAGCGAAGAAGTCGGTGAGAATAGTGTGCCCTTACTGACTTGGGCTGCCACTCCTTAGAAGCTTTTGTTGGGTGGAGCTCAACTTCTCAAGTATTTTAAGATCCAGATCTGGGAGATACACCTGAGAATGTTGGGGTGTCTTTGAGAGCAAGGGAGCCTTTCTCAGTTCCTGTGCTTTGTTTGGGGGCCTAAGGTCCTGGAAACTCAGGCCTCTCCAAACTAGCAGCGTTTAGATTCTTGTCTCTTGAATTCAAAGAATGAAACTCATGGACCACAGAAGGTAAGTTTTAAAGAGGGGGGGGGGGGCGCTATTTTTATTACAGAAAGTTAAAGAGAAAGAAGAAAATGGAACCCATACCCACAGGAGGGGTCCCGGGAGTGGGATGCTATTGAGGGCCACTGCCTTTAAGTTAGTAAAGCTTTTCTGAATGAAAGATGGAAGAGGGGGAGAGAAGCTGATTCAAGGTGTCCAGGTGCCCCCATTTCAGAATTAGCCTCAGTACAGTTTCCAGGAAACAGTGCTTCCTTGGGGGTGGGGGAGAGATATGGGACAAACAGACAACCCCTTTCTGAAACCCCAGCCTCTGGCCATGGCAGAACCAGAGACATTTTGGCTGAAACATATCTGGCCCCTTTCAAGGACTAGGATGCTGACATACCCGAGAACATTTTTGCGTTTTAGCCAAGAAAGAAAACTGTCCACTCTTCGGGAATGCCTTTACCCTAAATCTGCCTGGCCAATTGCTGGTGCTCTCCTGTTCTCAACATTTCTGTCCTCCCATTCCCAGAAGACACAAACCTAACTGCTACTAGGAAATTGGGGTGAAAATCAATGCTATTTCTACAAGTCAGGGGGGTGTTGTTGGGCAAAAGTATTGGCATACCCCTCTAGTGGGTCTATCTAAAAGGCCCCCAAAGTGCTTCTATGGCTTTATTTGTAGAACTGTCGGATAAAGGGGGGCAGGCAGGAATCTTGAACTCCTGGGTAGGTGATAGGGGAAACTAAATTCGAGGAATCTGGGGATGCAGAATGGTTCCTGTGGTTCCCTTGACTGGCTGAAGGATTTCTTGTAGATGTTCAGGAATTAGAGGGTGATTAATGGAGACCACAGAAATGGAGCCAGAAGGCCACAGTCCCTCTGAGTGTGGACTGAGTGCGTCTACGAGGAGACGAAGTTAAAGCAGCAGTTCCGTCCATACAGCCCAAAGATGAACAGGACGACTGTTGCGATCATGAGAGACCCCCTTCCACCAGGACAGCACAGCTCACCGTCAGAGCTGCCCACCAGTAGCACGGTGCTGTCTGTCACAGATCTTGCAGATCTTGGAAAGCAGATAAACATTAACAGAATTACCAGAAATACGCAGATACCAGCATTCAAGCTGGCTAATAGTACAAAGGCTCCCTTGGGCTGCTGGGGCTATCTCAAGCCATGCCTCTCTGTAGGATTGCCTTTCGTGTCATCTGAACTTCAGAATTAATTAATGGAGGACACTGTAAAGGGGAAAGGAACTTAATTTGCAAAAGTATGTTTTGGGTAATGTAACCAAGATGCTAACATATGTGTTTTTGCATAAATTTCTAATGTCTTCTGACTCAAAACAGAGTGTTGTAGGATGACCAGAATTCTTTCTTTCTTCAGTATGCAGGTCTCTCTTTGCTTTTGTTTTCTTTTGTTTTCCAAATATTTGCACTGAAAGAGTTGCCTTCTTATCAGTCTGTCCCTGTCACCAGCCTTGGTCAAAGGGTTAAGTTCCCAACCAAAAGCCTACAGTCACACCACTTCAATGAATATCCTGTTCGCCTTTCAAATGCCCCGTAATGACCTCAAATTCAGCTCTCACTAGTTGATAATTACACACATAAAGAGTTAACGAATCTATAAATTAAGTGACTAGCCCACAGATCTTTTTCTTCTCACTTGGGACAGAGAGTGAAGTCCAGAAAGCCTTACACACAAAGACTGCAAAACCAGCTGTTAGGGGGAAAAAAAAAACACAAAAATCCAATCAAAACAGATTAAACCAAATTAAAATGCCCATGTTTTATTAAATGCAGTGCTCTCGGGAGACAGAAAACCAGGGGGAGCACATGCAAAACCCACGACCACGTGTTCCTTCTCTGTGTGCCCACTTAAATACCCTGTGGGAGTGGTCCTGACCCGGGGAAGGGGTCAGGACCTGGATGCTGGGATTTGGAGTCCAGACCAACGCAAGTCCCAGGCCAGGGGGTGCTGGGATGGATGCCAGGGACTGGGGCAAGGCTCCCAACTTAACACTAGCCCATAAGAAATGCCTTAAACGGAGCACAAAGAGGAAGGCCCGAAATCTCCAGCTAACAGCAACTAGACTTGGCTGGAGCCACTGGAGCAAGAGCATAGGAGCTCCACAGTATGGACCTGGGTGGAGATTTAATGAGAAATGAGTTACAAGATGCCACAGTTAGAACAAGCAGACAAAAGCCCAGTTATGTAAACAAGCCATAGAGCTTGGGCATGTGATAGAAAAACCCTTCCATTTGTGCAGCAGGGTGTTGCTTTTTGCTCTGACCCCTTCCTCCTCTGGAAATGTATGTTTTCTTTATAAGTTCCCATTTCTGCTTCTATCCACAGGTCTCTGCTCAGTTCCTTGTTCTAGGACACAAGACCATAAAACCTCTTCGAGGCGCCCATGGAACCCCAATAGCTGCCCCCGTCAGCTGGTGAACTAGAAAGAAGGTTAGGATTTATGTTTCTAGTCTCTAAAGCTTTCTGCTCTTTCTGGGATGCCCGAGAGTAACTCCAAATTGTGAACAAGGTCAGGCTGCTAGGGAAATGACCTTTGGAGACTCCGGTGACCAGATATTCCTGTCCTGTGCTGAGATCAGGTAACGAACCAGATGCAAGAAAACAGTCTTGCATCAAAAAGCTCACTATAAAATCTCACACCCATCCACATGCCGCAGCAGGTCCCGGGAAAGACTCCCAACCTTGAAGGGGCAAGGAACACATTCCTTTTTGCTCTTTTTCCTAAGTGCCTGCCTTCTTTGGCAGCTCCTCCCTCTCTTTTTTTTTTCCTCTCTTCCTTTACCTTCTGCTTTCCCCAGTGATGCTCATGAGGGTGACAGACTTGGGCACTAAGAAGGAAGGGGCTGTCTGGGTTCCCAAGGGTCCAGGCCTCAGCCAGAAGAACCAAGTGTCACACAGTGATCTGGATGACTTGGCTTCAACAGTGGCCCCACAGCTGCAAGTCCTGGCTCTGCCATCCACTGCCTCCATCAGGCGTGTCCCTGTTATGGAGATCACTCAGCTCTCCCCATTCTCAGAACTCTGCCTTGGCTTTGCTGGAGACCTCCCCACCATTTGTTTTTGGTTTCTGTGTCCTTTCTGCTCATTTAATAACGTTCCATTCCTGAGGACATAGATTGAGTCTGCCAGTTAGCAAGACATTCCTTCCAACACGAGGGTCAAGAAAAATAAAAGAACCTGAACATTTGTTCTTTTTGCCTGTTCAGGTGTCTGGGAAAAGACCAGAGCTGTTGGTACAGGACATTTTTAGGGCCTCATGAGAGAGGCCTTATATAGATATAGATATAGAGATAGAGATAGAGATAGAGATAGAGATAGAGATAGAGATAGAGATAGAGATAGAGATAGAGATAGAGATAGAGATAGAGATAGAGATAGAGATAGAGATATTCTAGGTATTCTAGGAAATAGTCTCAGATACCCATTGCAGGGACTTGTTTCCAAGTCTTGGGAAAGTTATCACGGGACATAACTCCTAACCCGTGTATCTCATCCTCCTGTGAACTGTGCTCAGCTCTCCAGAGATACCTGCGGCATGATGGACTTGGGGGATGCCCCACATGCCAGGTCTTCTGAAGGCCTCTGTACATGAATTAGAGGCATCTTCTGCTCCCCAGAGGCCCTCGGGTTCTTGTCAGGCCCCAGGGAAATTCAACCCCAAGAACTAGACCCCAAGAACTAGAATATGTATGACCATGAGAAAAGAGTGTGAGTCCTGTAACCTACCCTGCCCCATACAGGCTGGGCAGCAAGAGGTTTGGTCAAAGGATGAAAGAACCTATATTTGATCTTGCCTATTCATTACCCAAGGGAAGTGGGGTATGAGAGGAAGGTAGAAGATATACAAGTGGATAATTTACTGAGAAACCCATAATTTTCCAAGAGTACAGTCGCCTTTAGAATAGGAGCATGGTATTACAACATCCCAATAGGAACCAATAGATGTAGGGTGATGATTGAGAGCCACCCCCAGAGATAAGATCAAAGAAGTTACACAACATTGGGAAAGAAACCCTGCCCTAGTCAACAGGCTAGTTAAGGCCATCACATTTTAAGATGGTCTTAGCTGGCATCACAGGCATTTAGCTCCTAAACAGGGAAAGAAGAGAGTCTGAGCAGAAAGTTTCACCTCTGATACACACACGGACACATACATGAATATATATATGTAAATTTCATATATATTATATATTGCTTTGACTAGGATCTTTCTTACATCTCAAAGATACACAAATATAAACTACTTTCTTTTGCTGGAAGGGATTTAAAATTTCTTTTAAATCATATTTTATGTATTACAATACAAATTCCATATTTAACACTATATTAGAATAATTTACATTCTTTTAAACAGGAAAAAAGCGTAATTTCTTTTATTTGCTTAAAAGATATTCTCTAATGCATAATTTCTTAT